GGGTGCGGGCTATCTAACCAAAATCTTTTATTTTTGACCCCAAATTTCCCCCTGCGGACTATACACCGGGTGCGGACTATAGTCCGAAAAATACGGTACATCTTTTTCCCTCATACGGACACAGATTCTGGTAAAGTTGTGTTGTGTGTGAGCTGCTGACTGCCTAAAAAGGAACGCCGAGACATTTCAGAAGAAAAGGGAAACAAAAAAAATCCAGTCACCCTTACAGCGAGAGCAGACGAGCAAGAGATGGGTCAACAACGTTAAGTCTTTCGTTGTAGGCTCTAGCAACACCTCCTAGAAGAAAAGGCCATAGCGCTCTGAGAGGTTACGTCACAATGGCGGAGGAAGGAAGTCCATGGCGCAACTACATGAGAATGCGCTATCGACGTGAAAAAAATGTTCCTTAACAAGCGGCGCGGTTGTGTTCGTTCAAGCGCGTTTATCAGACATTAATATACGTTTCAAAGGCGCAGTCTTGTACAATTTATTATATATATAATATAAACGTAATATACAACGCGCTACCAAGGTTGAGAGTACCAAATTTATATTTATGAGTATCCCCGTAACCGCGGGACTACGTGCAGTTCCGCAGCACCCCACACTCTTCGAAAAGACCGGCTGCGATGCTGTCGATGCCACATGGCTCCGATTCTGGTAAATTTACGTTGTGTGTGAGCAGCTGACTGTCTGAAAACGAACGCTGAGACATCTCAGAAGGGAAGGAAACCGAAAAGAAATCCAGTCATTGTCGCAGGGAGCGCACACCAGCAAGAGAAGGGTCGACAACGTTAAGCCTTTCGTCGCCGCTGCTCTCGTGTGTGGTACTTTTGAGACTTGTTTCCAGTCGCATTTCTGTCATCACCGTAGTCTCGGGTAGTTTTTTTGTGTTCGCTTGATACTACGGCATCTATGTGGATTCGTGAAACAAGTCCTGCTACGGTTTAAGTGACATGTGTGACAACTAGCCAACGAAGACTCTGGTTCATTAATCGATAGACCTCTCTCTCTCGAGAGAGGCTTCTTGGGGTTCGTGTTCAAATGTGTTCGTCACGGATGTTGTAAGACGTATGGATACGATCGACAGGTGAGAAACAACTTATTTACGGGCTTTCTTGGTCATGTAGGGCGCAAGTAAAATGCTGCAATCGTTTTTTTTTTTAATCGCATGATAGATTGCAATTTTGTTCTTCGTCATATTCGTATGCAGTTGCGTCGACATTTGTAAATATGTGCGGTAATCTAGTTTTTACTGGAAGGTAAATAACAAGTTTGTGTGATTGTTGAAAGTGCGTTGTTTGTGGTTCTGTGTTTATTTCTAGGTCATGTAGGGCGCAAGCAAGTATTTCTTGGTCATGTAGGGCGCAAGTAAAATGCTGCAATCGTTTTTTTTTTTAATCGCATGATAGATTGCAATATTGTTCTTCGTCGTTATTCGTATGCAGTTGCGTCGACATTTGTAAATACGCGCGGTAATCTAGTTTTTACTGGAAGGTAAATAACAAGTTTGTGTGATTGTTGAAAGTGCATTGTTTGTGGTTCTGTGTTTATTTTTACTAAGGTTATTGTATTGCCTTTACCGCGTTTATACTAGAATCTTAACTATTAAGGTAATAGTATTATTATATACAAAATAAGTTATGTTTTGTTCTAAGGCAGCTCGAGCCCATAGGGAGAGGTAAATTAGCAGACTAAGTAGTATGCCTAGTACCCCTGCCACACGGAGAAGTTAATATATTTTCATTCAGTTATATATGATTTAATCAGCTCGCGGTTTTGAGTGATTATACGAGCGCCGCAAGCGGATTTGTCGACCCCATAATGTCATTCGATCGAAATTACATTAATTTTGCCATGTGGCCGGGGTATGATGCAAGAATTCAGTGACTGCAAGCGATAACGTCGCTTACATGATCGTGAGAAACACTTGTCTTGCCTTGTCCACGTTGACTACGTCTACCTGATTTTTAACTGTTCTGTTTTGCTGTTTCCAAATCACTGCGTGTCTCGCCATTTTGTCGAAGTATTTCTGTAAAAAATATGCATTCCTACAACAGTAATTGCATGACTCAATGTTTTCGACTTAAAACAATCACATTTTTCTTTAGACGTCTTATGCATACCTCATGCCCTTTCGTACCGATTATTTAGCGGTGTAATATTTTGCTCATGCAATAAAATGTTTTCTATACCCGTTGCTATGTGCAGCTTTCATTTTAGCTAATATGACACGCGTATGTGACTAAAAACGCGTTACGACGGTCGATCCACGCGCGTTGCCTTCGCTTCGACGCGCGCCCCGATGGCCTTCCTTTGTGACGTCACGAGAAGAGCGCTACGGCCTTGTCTTCTAGGAGGTGTTGGCTCTAGCCACTGCTCTTGTGTATGGTCCTTTTGTGTCCTCTTCATACAACGGCATTTACATGGATTCGCAGTGTGAGTGACATATCTGGCCACTAGTCAATGATGAGACTGGTCAATTATAGGCAGACTTCTTTCCCTCGACTGGGAGAAAGAGTTCTTGGAGTTGTGTTCAAATTTCTTTTGTGGTGGATATTGCGGGACGTATGGATATGATTGGCAGGTGAGAAATACCTTATTTACGGGCTTTGTTGGTCATGTAGAACGCGAGTAGAGTAATGCAGTCGGTTGCTTTAATCTCGTGATAGAATTGAATCTCGTTCTTCTGAGTTACCCATGTTCAATTGAGTCGGCCTCTGTAAATATTCGTGGCAACGTTCAAGTTCTCACTGGAAGGTGAATAACACAACAATCTTATGTGCTAGTATTGAAAATGTGTCGTTTGTGCTTGAGTGTTTATTTATATGAATGTTATTTTATTGCCTTTACCGCATTATTACTACAACCCTAGCTGTATTAAATAGTATTTAAAAAAAATATTTTGTTCTAAGGCAGCATGAGCCCATAGAGAGAAGTGGATTAGTTAATTGTAAATAGTAGGTTTAGTTTAGTAGCCCTGGCAAACGAAAAAGCTATCATCATCTTATTAAATGCATGATCCTAAGTGACTATACAAGCGTCGCGAGCTGATTTGCAAACCCCACAAAGTCATTACATGGAAATTACATTAATTTTACCACGTGGCCGGGATACAATGCAAGAATTCAGTAACAGCATGCGTTAACATAGCTTCATTCACGTTTCATTCTTAATAAATACAAACAAACAGACTGTGACTGAAATGCTTAACCAATGTGGACTTCAATCATTAGAAACTAGACGAAGAATAGTGCGGCTAAAACTCTTATTTGCACTGTATAACGAACACTTAAACATTGAACCTGAAGTATATTTAAAAGAGAAACATAAGCGATCGTGCAGATTAAATCACAATAAAACAATCCAACCGTATAACAGTAGGATAGACGTTTTTAAATATTCATTCCTTGTGCAAACAATTAAAATTAGAACCAACTCCCAGATTATGTTATTAACCCTGCAAATATGTCCCAATTCGAGTCTTCTTTAGAAAAGAAATTTATCCAGCAATAAACAAAAATAAGTGTTTTTCCTTTTCATTTTCTTTTTTTTTTTTTTTTTTCACAAGGTGTAGCGATATGTTCATGTTGTCTTCAATTAAAAATTGTATAACAGTCTTCTTCCATTATGTACATATGTATTGAGTTCAAATGTTGATACGACTGTATATATATCAGGCACGTAGCCAGGATTTTGTTTTTGGGGGGGCCCGCCCATGACAAAATGCTATATGAGGGGGAGGGGGGAGAGGCGGTCCCAGCAAAATGGAAAATTTCGAGGAGGGGGGGGAGAGGCCCGGGAAGGATAGGCCCCCTCCCCCCCCCCCCCCCCCCCCCTGGCTACGTGCCCGATATATATTGTTGTTACCTCTCCTGTAATAGCCTTCAAGAGAAGGCTGTCAGTATTGTTTAATAAATGAATAAATAAGTTGCCTTCACTTCTGCACTTTGATGTGTGCCCCCAATGGCCTTCCTTTGCCACGTCACGAGAAGAGCGCTAATGCCTTAGCTTCTAGGAGGTGTCGCTCCTCTGCAGCCTTCCTTTTCCCTGTCCTGAACTCTGTCTTGTTGTCTAGTTTAGTTTCCCTCGTTGCACTGGTCAGTGAGAGGGAATACTTCTTTGTGTAAACTTGGTGGCTTCTAAGCAAACTGGGAAAAAAGACAGGTTTGGCAGATCTCAATCTACGCCACCTTAGTGAAGTTGCCTGGGGCAAGGAGACTCAAAACAAACTCCTCAAATGTGAATTCAGACAAAAAGACAGTTACAAAAATTACGAAGAGAACAGCTTCTCCAAAGTAGGCTCAAGCTACAGATAAAATTTCTGAATAATAAATTTATGGTTGATTATATAACGTTTTTTCTAAAAAAAAAAAAAAAAAAAAAACAGAAGAAAATAGATGGTGCTATGGAGAATTCGACAGCCTTGAAATTAGCCAGCACCATTTCAAGGCTGCCCATTTCTCCCATGGCACCATCTATTCCCTTCTAAAAAAAAAAAAAAAAAAAAAAAAAACAGCAGTGTCATTTTACTCTTGGACACTAATCATTTTATTTGGAACAACGTCCCCTTTGGAGGCCATGTCGGGCACACAGCGGATAATTTGCGGGTGTCTAGAATTCGCGAAAGACGCAAGTCAGCCCTAAACAAGGAGTAAAATTAACCTCTTTAGAGCAGCCAACCGACATCTCGCAATGAAACCCTTGAGGCCTAAATGCAGGGCGCGCATTGTTGTAATCGCTACTGCGTGCTAGGTCAGAAATGCGACGCCACTGCATGCGGATTGACTTCTCGTTGTGATGATACTTACACAACGAATTTCTCTTTTGTGACCTTACAGCAATGGTTTCGCACAGGGAAGCAATTCGCTTTTCCATCGACGATCGGGACGCGATACCTTCCCACGGTCGACACACCGATCTGTGTAGCAGCGGCGATAGTTTAGGATTCATTCAGCACACCGATTTTGCGACAAGCGAAAGAGGGCCGGAATTCTTACCTGTTCTGCCGCAACAAGAACGCCAAAAAGTTGGTTTCCTTGAACCTTCCCAAGCTTCACACTATCGGCTGCCGCGTCGAATATCACCATGCCCATCCAGAAATATTACACCGAGTTTGAGTTGCCGCCCGGCCGCGTTAGCACGCGCTCACGCGGTTGTTTATGTTTTGACATTTTGACTACGGCAATCTCACTGGGCGTGGACGTCACGTGTGACGTGAGACGGCTCGAATTGGATTGGATTGGGTTTTTGTTAAACCAGGAATGCTATAATAATAATAATAGTAATAATAATTAGCGAAACTTGAGGTACTGTGGGTGACTCTCAAGGCTAGGCAGATACGGGCAGAAAGGCGGGTGGATGAATTTGTGGGTGCCCGTTCGCGTGAGCGTCTGCTAGCCAGCCACCCAGAGTAATGTGCTGGTCTGAGTTTTTTTGTTGTCAAGTTTGTCACTTCAATATTATTCATTACTTAAAACATGCGATGCAATCTGGGTAGATTGGGCAGGTGTGTTCGCGATGTGCGCCGTGCACGCCGGTTGTTGTTCAACCCAACGGTTCGACCCACAGAGGTTCGACCGGTAGATGGAGAAGTGACGGCTGATGCCATCGCTATCACCATCACTATTTTGATTTTTCAAAGATAGCCGTTTTTGTGCTGCGAACGTTCTGCGAGGCGAGTTCGGCGACTTGCGTGACTTACGAACAGAACTGCCTAATTGGTATGTTAATTTTGGTGGCTACTTATCGCGGAATATCGTGGGTATCTTGTATTTGTACAAGAAGTAGTATTTAAGGTTCACATTGTTCTTGGTACAGAGCGTAAGCTCGGCGGGTCGTCTAGTCTCTTCTAAATTGCTTGGTTGCCTTTTGTCCACGTTTATTTCCCTCCCAAACCCATCGCACACTGGTTCATTTTCCTGTTTCTAGTACCTACAATTGAGCTAGCAAAAATGAGGTTTTGTATGAATTCAGAAACGTAGATAGAGACCATGCAGCTCTGCCTGCACTGTTCTTTTTATGTTGCGCAATTGAGACATCGCAGTGTCGAGCGTTACGTCCGACGGAACCCGAAATAAAAATTAAAGTTACGTCCTGTCTAACCTACGCAACCTTCTTGAATGTTACGCTTTACGGCCGATACATCACGCCAATTACTACGTTACGTCCGATGCAGCATTCCCTAATTGTTTAAAATCCGACTGCATCTCCGGCAGCCTTGTTGCGAACTGGCACAATCTTCACGTACCACTCGAGTCGCCACGCGCGCTAGCTTTGGCAGTGTTTTCTTCCAGACTGCCTAAATAAGCTGTTTCGAGGTGGCCGCCCGGGTGTGAGAGTGGCAATAGACCCTCGGCCATATCAACTTTGCTCTCAGCATGGGCCAGCGAGGGCTGGCCCATGCCGAGAGCAAAAAAAAAAAAAGTTCAGTAAATTGTTTTAAAAAAGGGGATGCCCAGCTTCAGCAGCTTCGATGTGCGAGGAACACACTCCAGCCCCCTCAACAAAACTGGAGGTGCGGATAGAGTTGAGATTTTAACTGACTAATGAATGCTGCATCGGACGTTATACAGTAGTAAGTCATGATATTTTTGTATTTATGTCGTGCATCGGCCGTAAAGCGAAACTTAGGTTGCGTAAGTTACATAGGACGTAACTAACTTTTATTTTGGGTTCCGTTTGTCATAGTTTTAATTTTCATATTAGGTTACGTCGGACTAAACTTTTTCATATTGGGTTACCTTGGATGTAACTAGAAATCTTGGGGTAAGGTTACGCTAGACCTGTGTAGTTGAAAGATACTTTTATTTTTTTGAAAAGTATTCTTCAACTTATGGCAGTGGCGAATAGCACTTGTGTTGACGAGATGTTTCGCTTCCGCATATCCGGAAAGCACCCTCGCTGGGACAGCTGTCAACTATCTATATACGACGGTAATGTTGCAGGTACAAAACTGAATAATACACTGTGTTGAATATTTATTTATTGGTCTTTTTCGGCAGTGCCGCTTGTGCCTGGACAATGGAAGATGATGCAAAGGCCGAAAGAAAGCTGTGTAGTTGATTATACTCTGCATCTGCACTCTGAATAATGTGATGTCTCGGTAGCTACACATGCTTTGTTAAAGGGAAGTTTATTTCGCCACCTGCTAGGCATCATTGAGGTGCTTTGGCTGTGTGCCTTTATTTTATGCTAATAGAATGTACTGCATTTACAACTGCTTGTTGTAGGTGCAGCCTACAACAATCAGTTGTAAAGGAGCGCCGTTTAGTGAATCCATTCCATTGGCGTAAGCAAATCTGGAAGATGCTAAACGCTAGAGCATGATTCACTGAGGCATGTTAACCTATGCTTTGAGCACCCACTCTCCTCTCTTGGGCTGTAAACCAGGCAAAATGTAAAATTATTCTTGCGAAAACAGCAGGGATGTGGCATGCATAAAAACTTGTCGATCATGCTCTGAATATGCTGGCCGCCCAAGCGAGTGACTCACTGACTGACTGGCTCGGCTTTGCCATCAGCCAAGGCAGAACAAGCAAATGCTAGAGCAAGCAGTCAAGTTCAGTGAATTGTGTTTTTCTAAAAACAAATTTGCTAAAAGGAGATTCGTTGCCATTTCCTCTAAACGGAGTGTCTTCTTGAAAAAATTCAATAAAAAAGGGGTTTCAAAACTAGGCTTGGGAAAATAGATGTCTCTGCTCGGGCCGTACACATCAACGTTCTTAGATCTGTCGGTTGACAAGCTCCATGGAAGAGCAGCACTAAAAAAATAAAATGAAAGACGTTTACAATTCTCTGTAACACGAAATTAGAGCGCAGCGCTTGAGTAGGAAGAGGGGAGGTTATGCCTCTCCTATCCCTCCATACCCTCTCCTCCTCCTCCCATTTAGCAGGCAATTTTCGCTAAATTTCCTGCTAAATATAGCGAGAATTTCCCCGCTAAATTTAGCGGTTTAAGTTTCCCCTCTAAACCTTGTGGGGAAATTGATGTCACACAACCTCAACACCAATTCAGTTTCCCCGCTATATATTTAGCGGGGAAACTGAATTGGTGTTGAGGAAACTTAACCCTGCTAAATGGCACATGACTTCATGTCACATCACTCACAAATTCAGTTTCTCTGCTAGATTTAGCAGAAAAATTGACATCGCGTGACTTCAACACAAATTCAATTTCTCAATAAATTCAGCGGGGCGATCATGCAGACGGCGACGCAATGAAGCGTGGAAATGGGCACCTAAGAGCTGCACTCTAAACCAGTTTTTCTCTGTTGCCGGTGCACAAGCAGGTAAGGGCGGATAGCATTCCTTGTGCCAATTCTTTTGCGGTCAACGAAAAACGCTTTTTGAACAATGCTCTTTCCCCGCGGCAAGCCGTCCCCAAATTGGCCAAAGTTAGAAAATCGTTGCACCGCCCCTTTAAAAGAGAGAACCTGCAGTTATTAAAAAAAAAATCTTTTTTTTGACTAACTGCAAAGTTTGCTACATGTTACAAGGAATGCCACAGGAATGTGTTCTGTGAAAACCAACTTTACCCGAAGATTCCCCGAACCAGAGCGGTAACCATTTGTGTTCAACGCACCGCGTGCAAGTCCGAACCATCATCTTCGGTTCCCGTTTCCGCAGGAGCAGCTGCAAGGTCGTCCGCGCCGCGTTCTGTCCACGCAGAGCGCGAGCCCTCAGAATCTTCAAAGAGGGCAGACGTTCCCGAGGCATCGACTTCAGGCGTCGGTCGCCGTCCCTCAACCCCGAGGAGTTTCGGCGCGAGGTCGTCGGAGGAACGACCTCGGCAGGCGGGACGGAATCGTCTCCGCCGTCTTCCGAGGACGACGAGGGGCCCGCAGTGTCTGCATCCAGCGCCGTTCCGCAGGTTGGTCGTCGCGGGTTACGACGGGTCGGCTTGCAGCCCGAAAGGGGGGCACTGAGGTTTGTCTCGAAACACAAAAGTACAGCCGTGCTGTGGCCTTTTTTTCGTTGAAAACGCGACCAGGCTTTGCGGCAGAATTGAGTCTCACGATGCCCAACTCCTACGGAGAGGCCGACGCAGTCGGCACACCTTCCGGTTCTAGTACGCCCTAACGACGTGCGGGCTTTTCTGTTGTTATTCGTCGCCACTTGGAGACCGCTTTCGGTGCATGGGCGGGACAGGACGCCAAACGCACCGGCGTCGTCACGGTGCCGCGTGAAGTCGCAGTAGCTTCATTCGATTTTTCCGCACCGGTGCAAAAAGTGCAGGGCGGTGTACTTCCAGCATGTGTGTCAAGATACGACCGGAAGTGCGCTCCCTTACACGTTTCTGCACCAGTGAAGGAGGTGCGGATAGATCGAACGAAGCAACTGTTGCACGCGTGCCGTCCACTAAGTTCTGCGTCAGCCAAATCTACCCTGTTAGATCAAATTATGTCAAGCTTTTTTGCTTCTTTTTTCTTTTTTATAGGGTTAAGGACGTAAATATGTACCGGCCAGGAAGGATTCCTTCGTAGCCTTCGGCGACTGCATCTGACTCTCCGCAGCCACCAAGCCACGGGCGAGGTCGGAGCGAGTGTGCATCGACAGTGCGTTGTCACATGCCTCGGTCAGACATTCCAGGGGCCCTGATCTGGACACTCGGCAAAAAAGTCGGCGAGAAATTTGGCGGCTGTGATTGGACGGTCCCAAGCACTGATCTATATTTTAGTAGGCTGGATCGCAAATCGGGAGCCTGTCGGTGTCGCCACCGGCGGCCATTGCTTGACACCAGGCAATGCACGCAAGTCTATGGGAGAAACGCACAAAAGTAAGCAGATTGAAGCATGTACGCTGTACTCGGAGGCGAGTATTTTATGGTGCGCTGCGATTCTTATGCCGGGTGTTTCGAGATCGATTCGGTATTTGTCAAACGTCCGGTCGCCGGATTAAAAGATCAAACGTACCTACGGCTGAGCTGGCAGGGTTGCTCTCATAGTGAAGTTAGCAAAGGAACCTGCCGTCAATAAGTCCGTCCTTAGGGAAGCCGAGAAGTTGATGTATGACAAAGAAGTTCCACCTCGACAGCAACTTTCCGGGAGTAAGCGAATTCCGAGTAGCAAAGCCTTCTAGTTTGTCGTCTGCTAAACCCAACTCAACGAAACCGGCACCGACCTGCGGTAACTCTAGGTAACTCTCGCCTCATTGAGCTGCACTACAGCGGAGTCACTCTCGACTACAAAATATTTATTTATAAGAACTGCGAGGGCTGTCAGTTTTAACGTTTGTAGCCAAGCTATTTGGCGGGCTTATCGGAAGCATCCAAAAAGTTTCAGTGCCGACAACAGCTAAGAAAAAGGGGAAAACTTCGCTTTTTCTGGTGTCAATCAATGGCTGCCGGTGGCGACACTCGGCTCCAGCTGCCGAGGCCGCGGTCCGCGATCCAGCCTACTACAAGAAAGATCAGTGGTCTCAAGGTCAAGTGCGACGTCGGCCAATAACGGCCGCAGGATTTCTCGGCGACTCTTTCCCCAAGTGTCTAGGTTAAGGCCCCAGTTGTATCGCCGGGGCCTTAGCTTATGTCGTTTGTCAATTCGTGCCGAAACAGTTCCCAAACGTGGATTTGCGAGACTTCCTTACCTCAAACAAAACACTAAAAGAAAAAACATTTTTTTACATTTATTTATTTTATTTTTCTAGTTTTTAGGTTTTCTTTTTTTGTTTTTCTTACTTACCTTAACCTCCTTTTAGAGGCCGAACCCCCGCCAGAAAGATGTCTGCCGACCCCGGCACGCCAAGCACCCGCACAGCCATCGCCGGCGGCATGCCGAGCTCCAGCGCCACCGGCACTGGAGCCTTTGGCATCAAAGGGACCCGGCACCGGCCATTGGTACCGGCGTCTTTGGCATCAAAGGCGAAAGTCTACCTCTCCCAGGGGGGTAAGTGGCCCTTTCCTCGCAGTCTTCGCGTGGGTGCCGCCATCTTGAAAAATAGAGGCACTAAAGCCGCTCGACTAGATGTGCCGAGAGTAGCGTCAAGTTGTTGTGATATTCGGGAAGAAAAGGCCCCACGCATCTCGGCCGCTTCGGGGCGGCGTAGACGCGGACGTCGGAGGTACCGGAGGAAGGTGCCGACGAGCCCGTGTAGCCGGCAGCTCCTTAATGCACGCGGAGAAGCGGCAGAACGTCGCCCTTGAGGTCGGAGCCGCCTTCTCTTCAAACATGCAAAAAAAAAAGTCAGCGTTGCTTATGCCACGAAAACAAAGTCGACCAGTGCTCCAATGACTTCCAGTCGCTGCGGAGAAAAGCGCACGTCTGCTTTCTCTTCCCTCTTTTCTGCCGCCGTCTTTACCGTCCCTTTTCACGGCACCGGCGAAGTCGCCGCTCACGATTTGTCGTGCACAGCTCCCGTCTTTCCCACCCGGTTGCAGGGGCGCCGTCATCTTGAAACCGTGCGACGGGGGCGCCGAAGCCGCCGAAGGAGGTGCGCTCACGAGTAGCGACGCTCCCCCGGCCGTCTCGCGGGCATCATTAATGGCACCCGGCAACAGTGGGTGCAATGGTTACAATGGAGAGATGCAACTTCCTGTGATTTTTGTACGGTGTGTGGGGCATTGTGCCATCAAACGCGTCGTTGCGTAGGTGTAAATGAACGCCATTTGGAAGTATTTAGTGCGTGGATTGTAAACAGGTTAAAAGATATATATTTCAGGCGTCTGGGATGACTTGCACCAAATCGTAAAAGAATTTCCAATTCACAACTCGGCCCTTAAAGGAATAACTAAAGTTTGCTAATTGGTCTTAATCGACCGAATAATTGGGCAGATCGAGAAAAATGTGGCAACTATGTTAAGACGCTTGCTAACGACGTACAGTTGGTTTTACTTCCCTGGAGGACTCCGTTTGCTTTTTTTAACGTTTGATGCAAGTAATCTGGGACACCCTGTAGCATTGTCTCGATGTTCTCTAAAAAGCATTAAATGTAAGGGTTTTTAAGAATCCCTTCTCCCCAAGGAAGTTAATTTTATTATCTCGGAACTGTTTTCAGCTACGGCCCGCCACGGACCATAAATACTGCTCAAACAAACGAGAAATCACATAATTTTAAGAGATTGTAGCAGACGGGTAACTTTTAGTTGTCGATTGCGTGCGCGAAGTTCGCATTTTACTCCCACCAGGGCATCCAAAACGGTTCCCCGATCGGCGCATTTACCGCGTCCAAAGAAAAATGGTCCCTCGATTTCCGCCCGATGGCATCGCAGAAGGGCGTTGTCCCAGCGCCGGTGTGTTCATTGCCATTTCAAGACCACTTTCGGTGCGCGGGCAGAGCTTACTCCGCTTTTGGCGGGGCTCTCTTGGAGAGACATAGCGCACGGCAACATTCGTGCCGTCGAGGCGCAAGACGCGTGCAGAGTTTTTCCCAGCAGTGTCAGTGCGAAGCAGTATGCAATGCATTCCTTAAAAGACACATGCACAGGAAAAAAACATTTTTTTTTACACGGCTTAGATGGCAAAAGGACGCCATAAAACGATTTTACAACGAAGAAAAAAAAAATTTAGAGCTATATTTACGGCGCAAAACGAATTTGTAGTTGGCGCCCGCGGGCACCGCGGAAAAGTGGTCTGTATTTATCACGTGACTGGTCTTTATTTATCACGTGGTGCTTGCGCTCTTTCGGAAGCTTCCTATGGCCTCTAAAAGTAACTTATTCATCTTTGTTTGAAGTATAACAAAAAACCAAGACGAATAAGTAACTTTTAGAGCCCAAAGGAAACTCCTGAAAAAGCGCAAGCAGACGTGATAGACCTGTGCGCCGGTCAGACGACGGCGGCGGCGCCCCGAAGCAGACGAACTTGTGCGGCGGCGGCGACGGCGGCTTGAAGAAACGCGTTGAAGCGGCGTTCGCACAACGCTCAGCGTGCGGCGGCGACGCAGCGCGGCGGCGCGCGGGCCTACCACGTGACCAGCAGCGGCTCCCGCGAGCGCCAACTACAAATTCGTATAGCGCCGTAAATATAGCTCTAAAAATTTCGTTTCTTCGTTGTAAAATCGTTTTATGACATCCTTTTTCCATCTAAGCTGTCTAAAAAAAATTTTTTCCTTAGCATGTGTCCTTTAAAGGGATGCTGAACCGAAATTTGGATTTAAAAAAAAAACGATGCAGGAGATGTAGGCGGGACGCTACAATCGCTACAACACTACTCGTAAGGCGATATCTCAAATGGACGGCCGTATTTTTTGAAAAAGAGGTCGAGATTGAACCAGGCCGACGAGACGCGTGATGTCAAGATACCTTGTTTCCTCCTCTCTTCGCTTGGCTCCCTCAAGGCAGCGAGGCGGAGAAGACGCGAGGTCGTTCCCTCTCCTTTTTGGAGAAACATGACGTGAACATATCTGTCAAATGCGCCTCCTTTTTTTAAAAATACGGTCATCCGTTCGAGATATCGCTGTATGAGGGATGTTTTTGTGTTTGTAGCATCCCGTTGCACGCTTTTGCCGCATGTTTCGGGGAATCCAAATTTTGGTTCAGCATCCCTTTAAGTCTGCCTTTGGCACAACAATGCAAAAAGAGCTTTTTTTGTGTGTTTATTTGGTATTGATTTGCCTAACTGCAGGAATTGCTAGAGTTCTTTTTTTGAAGGTGCGAAATGCTTTTCAATGGAGCTCTACCAATCGGAAGATTTCGCCCATCCGTCTGCCCGTCGGTGCATTTCCCGCCAGGTTTAGCGGTAAAATTAATAAATGTATAGCTTCTTTTCGAGACGACCGTTAACTATCTTCTAAGCAAATTTAGACAACCGCTCCTGAAATACCGCATTTCATGCAGCGTAAGACTTTAGAAGAAAAAAAAGTCGCCATCAGCTTTCTTTTTAAAAATGGCGGTTGACACTTTAGCCCGGTGGAGGCCAATCGGCGGGAGCTAATCAGCGCGGTTGCCACTCCTCTTCTGTCCAGGGCAATCGGAAGTCGACGCATCGCACACCACCCTGGCTCAAGGACGTCCGTCGCCTCCAAAGGACCACACGGCTCCTCATTCCACGGCTGTCATTTGCGCGGGTGGTGAGGGAAATGCTGCAGGGTTTGGCCCCCAGTCGCTCCGACCGCTACTACATGCAGGGGCTCGCCTTGCAGGCGCTACAGGTGGGCCTGCCTCGTCTTTTGGTCGCCGTCGTGGCGCACATACCAGTCGCCGTCGGCAACGACCCGCGTCGTCTGTCCGTCGACGTTGGCCCACATACCGTAAAGTACTGAGAGATAGCCCACCTAAAATAGTTAGAAAATTGGGTGCAAATGAGGGGTGGGCTAACTTTTGGTGTGCAGTCAAGGCAAGTTGAAAAAATGCTATTTTTTTATTGTGTGTTTCTGTCAAAGTTGTTATTGCGGCAAGGGGCAATGAAGCAAAGATGACTGTACTTTCCAACCAGCAGTGTTCGCTTATATCTCGCCATACCTAACTAGACGCATTTTCGCCACGGTCATCATTGATCCGAGACTACGATTATTATTAGTGGGCTATCTTTCGGTGTTTCAAATAAAATAGCACCTCGAGCCAGAAATGGGGATGGGTTACCTTTCTGGGGCTCTCCGGATTTTACGATTGTCCTTTTTTTCGTCAATACATGCCTATTCAGTCGTAGGTCATCGATTTACGTGGCCTATTTAGTTGGCATACGCCGCTTGGCGAAACACGACCGCACGCCGGTAGGATGCTCGTCCAGATCGAAACGGGCAGGAGTGGGGAGAATCACAGGAACCTTTGGTCTTGCTGTGCGAGCTTGCGCTTTCGCTCCCTGAGCCATTACATGAAAGAGCAGTGTCTCCTCTTTAAAGAGGCGGTGCAAGGATTTTCGAACTTTGGCCACTTAATTGTGGGAAGTCGTCAAGGCCACCCATGATACGAGGAGCGGGAACGCTTTCTTTCTTGCGTGCGCTAGTTTTTAATCTACAAAGAGATTGAACAAGTAGACGTGTTTCGAGTGAGGTTCGGTGTCGTCTTTGGGACCAGCAGCCTTCCCTGCATGTTGGCCAACTTTTCAAGGTCACGCTTGCCCTCGTCGAAGGTTGCGGCGAGGGATCGAGGTGGGACGGCTTGCCGCAGGGACAGACGTTAAAGGTAGCGAAGGAGAGGAAACGGTTTCCCTTATTTCCGAAAGATGGATAGATAGCGCCGCAAAAACCCGCGTACCGCGAAAAAGGTCACGCCATAGTTCCGATGACAACCACACAAAACTGCAAATTAAACAAAATATGGTTTTGTTTTTTGCAATTGCAGTAGATTATCGATGATATGAATCTGGAGGGATCGCAGAAATATTTGTATCATCCAAAATTCATACTAACAGAAAACAAGTCACATGACTATGTGAAAACAAAGGGGGGGCTACTTCCAATTCATTGGTCACACTCCCATCTGAAGAAGTCAATAATGTTCTTCAGAGTCTTCTTTTTTTCAATGTCACCCAAACGGCACTTTTGGAACATGGAAGAACGAGCATACCTGTCGTCGCTGACCTTGATCTCGGGCTCACTATGCGGCGCAGCACATCGAGGGCATGCAGTGTTTCAGCCGTCGTTGGTGGCTGCTTGTCATTAGTTTACGTCGCCGTCATCATCTCCGCTACTTGACCGTCCTTGCAGTGCCGTCACTTTGTCAACAATTGCCTCGGCAGTCCTTAATCCGCAAGTAGCGAGGCTGTCATCTGCGGTAATGAAATCAAAGGCCGATTTCTCAGCACAAAGCAGGTCTCAGTCCTCAATTCTCAAGTTTCCCTCTGGTTCCGGAGGAGCAGCCACTGTAGGATTTGTGAATTCACACTTGCGAAAGCCGTTAGATAAGCGTCGATTCCACGATCAACGTCAATTTCGAACGTCATTTCTCACATACACTCGAGTCAGTCAGAGTTGCTGAAACCCATTTATCGCGTGGCAATAAATATAAAGCAGCAACCCTGGAGTAAGCAAACGCGAGTTACTCCAGCGAGCCAAATTTCATCACGCGACAACACAGCAGCGCTGGATGTGGGTATGTTTTCGAATTTTGGAGCGCACCTACGGTTATCGGGATTGCATGTTGCGTATATAGAAAGAACGGCGAGAGAAATGACTCAAAAAGCCTGCTACAGTCGTAGGAGCCAAGTGATGATCAAAAAAACTGCTCCGACTTTACTCAACAAGATTAACAATTTAATCAAACGTTTCGTCTCCCATGCAGGAAACATTGTCAGTGAAACCTACAAGCAGGAATGAGAGAAAAAACTTCAACAGTCCTATTTAAGCAAGTCCGCGTACACATCGGGGAGGGGGCCGCGGTTCGAGTTGCAAGCTGATGAGTCACTTCGGATGAACCATGATTCCACGAACCTGCGTGGACCCCACCTTTGTTCGCGCGCCAGAGTGGACGCATTCTCAAAGTCGAAACAGTGACCCGTATTCCAACAATGGTCTACGAGTTCCGTCTTCGCTCTTGTCGCATGCGTGGCCTTCGCCACGTCCCTTTTGTGTTCGTTTAAGCGAGTGCAGCGCTTGCAACCTGTCTCCCCAATGTAGGATGCGTCACAGTCTAGACAATTCACTTTATACACAACACCGCACTGGGACTCTGGGGGGGTGTAATCTTTAGGTTTAGAAATGAGGTCACGTAGTTTACGATGGGGTTTGAAAGCAGTACGGATATTCAAAGGGGCGAGGGCCCTGCGAATAGACTCAGACTTTTATTGATAACACGCGCAAACAGATGGGGCAAAGAAGAAGTCAGGATAATGGACGACTTAGGACAGGGCAAGTAACAATACCCTATTTGAGAGGTGTTTCTGAGTCTATTCGCAGGGCCCTCGCCCCTTTGAATATCCGTACTGCTTTCAAACCCCATTGTAAACTACGTGACCTCATATCTAAACTTAAAGATTACTCCCCCCCCAGAGTCCCAGTGCGGTGTTGTGTATAAAGTGAATTGTCTAGACTGTGACGCATCCTACATTGGGGAGACAGGCCGGAAGCGCTGCACTCGCTTAAACGAACACAAAAGGGACGTGGCGAAGGCCACGCATGCGACAAGAGCGAAGACGGAACTCGTAGACCATTGTTGGACTACGGGTCACTGTTTCGACTTTGAGAATGCATCCACTCTGGCGCGCGAACAAAGGTGGGGTCCACGCAGGTTCGTGGAATCATGGTTCATCCGAAGTGACTCATCAGCTTGCAACTCGAACCGCGGCCCCCTCCCCGATGTGTACGCGGACTTGCTTAAATAGGACTGTTGAAGTTTTTTCTCTCATTCCTGCTTGTAGGTTTCACTGACAATGTTTCCTGCATGGGAGACGAAACGTTTGATTAAATTGTTAATCTTGTTGAGTAAAGTCGGAGCAGTTTTTTTGATCATTATGATTCCCGGCTTTTGGAATATTTTTGGAGCCAAGTGATGCCGTCCCGCAGGATGTGTAAACGTTGATGATCGTTCACATGATCCACCGTGGCCGAGAAAGCATTTGGAGACTATCCCGAAACGTAATAGATAAGTCTTAACAAACTTCGGCCGGGAATTTCGAAAAATTTGTGTCGTACCGAAATTCGGACGAACCGTCGTCATATCACGAGATTCTACCGTATGCAGCAAATTTGCAGCATTTTGAACGAAGGTGGCACATTTTCTCCTCTTGTGTGAATAGAAACGATATAAAAAATGCGGGTCGTAAATTTTTCAACATTAAAATTTGGGGACTGTCCCAGTTCTAACGTGTCGACTCGTCGGCGTTTGACGGTCGTCGCCTCTTTTCCAGGAGGCGTCGGAGCTCTTCGTGACAAACTTCTTGTCGGCGAGCTACCTGTGTTCCCTCCACACCAAGAGAAAGATCCTGATGAGGAAGGACGTGATTTTCCTCCAGGACCTCCTCAAGATATTTGGCACCAGCCTCGCCACGGACTTGAGAACTTTTCTACGGGTTTTATTCATTTATTTATTTACCCTCAAGACCTGAGGCACTATAGAGGATTAAATTTCATAAGACAGTACAACATTGTGCAGTTATTAGTAAAGACAAATAAGAGGCTCCTAATCATACAATGATAGCTAAGGCGTTCTTGAAAAGAGTGTGGTCTTCGATGGCTGTCGTAGGTGCGGGAAGGCGATTCCACTCATCTGATGTGCGTGGGAAAAAGGACTGAAAAAAAGCGTTAGTTTCGCAGAGTGGAATTCCATCCTTAAAAGCATGATCCAACCTGGATGAGATATACGGGGGAGGCAAAATAAAATCGTGGCGCAGGTATGGGTGATGAAAGAACTTGTGAAATAGACATAGTCGAAGTGATTTACGGCGAGATGCTAGAGTTGGTAGGTTGAGGCTAGGTTTCATTGAGCTTATGCTGGCAGTTCTGTTATAGTTAGATAGGATAAAACGAACTGAATTATTTTGAACCATTTCAAGTGAATCTATTAAGTTTTCTTGGTAAGGATCCCACACAGATGAAGCCTATTCAAGTTTTGAACGGATTAGTGTTTTATATAACAAAAGATTTAATGACGAAGGGGCTTTTGAAAGGTTACGTCGGATGTACCCAAGCATTCTGTTAGCGTTGTTAGTAACATACGAGATGTGAGCGTTCCAGGTGAGATCGGCTGTAATGTGAATACCAAGGTATTTGTAAGAAGTGACGGCATCAAGGGGACGGTGATTTAGAAAGTAGGTGGGAAAACTATTTGCTATTCTAGATACGTGCATATATTTGCATTTATTAACGTTTAGGTCCATATACCATGCCTTGCACCATTCAGAGATAGCATTAAGGTCCGACTGAAGATTAGTTATATCGTCGTCGCAAGTTATTTCACGAAAAACCACTCAGTCATCGGCAAACAAGAGATTGTTAGAAGAAATGCAAGAAGGTAGATCGTTTATGTAGATAAGGAAAAGGAGGGGACCAAGAACAGAACCCTGTGGCACACCAGAGTAAACACCGGTTGGCTGCGAGTTTAGAGTTGTTAGCTGATACAAACTGTGAACGGTTAAGAAGAAAACATTCAATCCATGTGAGAAGTTTGTGATCAAGGTTAAGTTGGTGTAGTTTATATAGTAAAAGTTTGTGGCATACCTTGTCTAATGCTTTAGAGAAGTCTAAAAAAATGCAATCGGCAAATGAGGAATGGTCAAGAATGAGGTTTAGTTTATGCGTAAATGATACCAATTGAATTTCACAGGAGTAAGTTTTGCGCAAGCCGTGCTGTGAAGGTGTGAAAAAGCAGTTTGATTCAAGGAATGTAACGAGATATGAAAACAGAATGGTGCTCAAAAAGTTTACAAGGAATGCTGGTTAGTGAGATGGGTCGGTAATTGAGGGGAGAGGACTCGCTACCTGATTATGGAGTGGAATCACCTTCCCGACCTTCCATTCCTCAGGAAGATAACCGTAGTCGAGCGACTGCTGAAAAATCTTAGAAAGTATAATAGAAGAATAAACACTAGTACTTTTCAAAAACTTGGGATTAATTGAATTGCATCCAGGAGACGAAGAATGTTTAAGTGATCTAATGAGGCTCTCTACACCAGTAGGTTCAATGAGTATGGGAGACATGACGAGAAAGTCAAAGCCATGAGTATCGGGTATGGGGACACCTGACGTTACAGAAAAGTCGCATGAAAACACTTCATTCAGCACCAATGCACACTGGCTAGGAGGAATTACGTTTCCAGTGCTGTCGACTAAAGTGATCATATTCTCATCTTTTGGTCGTATAACACTCCAAAATTTTCTAATGTCGTTTATTAACATTGATGGCAAAGTGCTTCGATGAAATTCTTCCCTAGCATTTTTTAGCGCAGCTACATATTCGTCGGAGGCATGTTTGTAAGCAGCCCAGCGGGCACCATTTCCAGATAGTTCAGCTGATCTTTATAAGCGTTTTTTTTTTGTTCGATAAACGTCGGAGGTTACGACTATATCACGGAGCATCACTATTAGATGTGATGGTGAAAGTGGGAATGTATTTATTAGTTAAATCATTCACTTTAGCCACAAAAATGTCCCAATTAGTTTGTACAGTGTGATTATCAAAACCATTAAAAAAATTATCAAGAAAAATAGACAGTTCATAATTAATTGCTTCAAAATTTGCTTTTGCATAGTTACGAATAGTTTTAATTTTCTTAAGGTTCTTTGGCCGTGACAAGCGAATCTGGAAAGTAAGCAAACAGTGATCGCTTAAGCCAGGCAAGTGACTAATCTCGGAGACAAGATCAGGCTGGGATGTCAAGACAAGATCAAGGGTGTTCGCGACAGATTGTGTTGTCCTTGTAGGTTGCTTAATAAGCTGTGTAAAGGAAAATATAGAGCACAAGTTCAAGAATTCAGTGGCTAAAGAGGAGACGGGATGTATACTGGGCGGTTCACTGTTTCATGATATATTCGGAATGTTAAAATCACCAAGCAGAAATAAAGGAAACGGTGGGTATCGAGATGAAACTATATAATTACATCATGAAGTTCATCTACAAAATTGGAAGAAAGCGTGGGGGGTCGATAAAAAACACAAAGAATGATTTTCATATTACTTATTTCAGCGACAGCCCAAACAATCTCAAGGTTGCAAGGAAAAAAACACACTGGGATGGAAAGTTTTTCAAAATGGCCAGCAGAACACCACCACCTTGTCGCGTTGTGCGGTCGCAGCGATAAATAGAGAAATGCCGAGCAGATAGGAAAATTTCATGATCACGAAAGTGCGGATGCAGCCAGGTCTCGGTTAGTGCGATGAAATCGGCATTGCATGTATCGATGGCAGAGGTTAAAGAATCGCGCTTGCTCATAACACTCCGAATATTGTAAAAAATAATTTATGCATGAGATAAGGAACGTCCACTGCCCCTCGCGTCCCGCTAGGTCATTGTGTGTGTTGAACAACTGGGATGCGGGTTGTCTTGTGTTGATTTGGGCATAAGTTCAACCACGTTATCAATTTCGGCAGCGTAGACGTATTGCTTTTTGATTAAGACAAGCTTGTTATATCTTAGCTGAAAGGGAGGTGCCCTGGGTTGATTTTTAGCGAAGTCGACAAGTTTCTTTCGAGCGGGGCGTGTGGCGGGCGAAAAATCTTCGCTTACGGCAACATTTTTTTCTTTCAGTTTTGTATGCGCGGAAAGTATCCTTTCTCTTATCTTGTATCCAGAGAATTTAACTATGATAGGGCGACACTTATTCGGCAAATAGGGGTCTAAGCGATGAGCTCGCTCAATTGCATTCTCGGGGAAGGTGTCAATTACTCCTGCTAGAGCGTCTTTCACTTTTGTCTCAGATTGTTCCCACGATTCACGTGAGTCAGGAATGCCATGAAAAATAAGATTATCGCGTCGCGACCGGTCTTCCAGTTCGCCAAGAGGCACTTGCAACGAGCCATGCTGAGCTGTTAGGGTTTTTACTGAGTCTTGAACGCTAGCGATATCTTGACCAAAGTGGTCGAGCGAATTTGTTTTCTCTTCTAATTCGTCCAATCTTTTCTGGATACATCCAATCTTAGTTTCAATGCTTTTCCGTCCAGCCTTGATAGCTTTTACGTCAGCCGCCAAGTCAGTTTGACTCCTTGCAGACTGAATCGACCGCGCTTGAAGACCCTTTAAAAGATTGAATAATGCAGCCATCTGTTCAGAGGGCTCATCAGGCAAACACTCTACATTCAAAAGAGCCTCAGCACGAGTAAGAGGTCCTGGGTTCATCTTAACATCACCAGAATGTAGTAGCAAAAGTACGGTCAAACAGCAATCATAAGCAATTTTACAAAGCCCTTGTGGGCACGGAAGCAATAACAAGTAATGATTGTCGTTTTTTTTAGTGTGAAGTGAAAAGCGGTTACACACCTGCAAAGCGCAGAAGCGCGACACATAAGCCATGTTTTCGTAACTGCTTCCGCGCCCACTGAAGAGAAGGTTCCACTTCCAGCCGTTTATATCGTTGCTGGCGTCGCTGTTAAGAAGTAATGTCATCGTTGATGACGTTGCTTCTTGGAAAATCCAGCCTCTCAACGACAAGAGTTCCAGAGAAAAGGCGTTGTCAGGGCGCTGTCAGTTGATGCACTCCCGCGATGATGGCAGCGGTATCAAGAAGCCTGCTGAAGTCTGCGTCGGAGGCGGGGACCACAGCAGAACAAGAGCCAAGAATGCCTGCAAAGCGCAGAAGCGCGGCTCGTAAGCCATGTTGTCGTAACTGCTTCCGCGCCCACAAATACGACACCGGATTGGTGTCGTATTTGTCCGTTTTCGTATTGCGCCTGAAGTTCGGGCACTTTTCCCTTTTTTTTTCTCATGTATTTGAGCATATCAGTTTTAATGTTTGTTTGTTTTTATTTCAATAAAGTTGTTTGTCATTTTAGAGATTAGGGCTAAGGTGTTTGAATCGGCATCCCGATTTCGAACGGAGGTCACAGTATCAAGAATGGGAGGGGCTTTAGGCCTTGTCATTTGGTGAACTCCTTTCATGAGACATGGAAGCAGTTCCTACTGCAGTAGGTTGCGTGCAAGCACTGTGACTGAGCAATTCAGTGTTGCGGAATGGGCACCCCCATTCCATTCCGGGGAATTAGAGTTATCAATAATTCCATTCCTTTTAACTCCTAGGAATGGAAACACTGGGCCCATTCCCACTCCTGGAATGGTTGAATCGTTCCATTCCATTCCTCCAATTCCTAAACGTTAAACGTGTCACTTGACAGCTGCATTACGTTGCAGGGTTGGGCAGAAATAGTCAGAAATGTATTTGGAAATACAAATACTGGGATAGATGAAAATAGTTGCTAAGATACTGATACTCAAGTCTCAAATATATCTATAAAAATGTATCGTGATACGTATCGGAAATACATTTTAAAAATAGGCAAAAAGCCTTTGGAAACACAAATACAAGAATACACTTTAGGGGGGGGGGGGGGCAGAAATATAAATACTGATAATACAACACATTTTTCAAATTTCTTTGAGACGCCAACTGAGATGAGGCCTTAAAGGGCAACTCCGCTCAATTAAAAAAAAAAATTAGGCTTACATGTGATTCAAATTCACAAAGCACTACTAAACAACTATACGTCTTCGGATTCGCGAAATTTGGAATATTATTTGTGTAATCCTAGTTTAAACATCAGCTGATACCAAAACCGAAACTTCGGTTGCGTCAGGCAACATTGGTCTCGGGTCGTCAGAGTCATGTCCACGTCACGTCGAACCACGTGGCCTTGTGACGTTCGGGAGGGAGCGAGAAACAGGACACGCGACGCGGGCTGGTCTTTTTTTTTTTTTTTTTTTTTTTTTATTGGACGCGGGCAGGTCGTTTTCCATGGCATGGACGGTGATGGCCCGGGGGAGAGGGGGGAAGGGGAGAAGATGAAAGAGGAGAAGGGGAGCGGAGAAACAGACCGATAAGCGCGCAGGGCAGCGCAAACTAGCGCATCCGTGTTACGGTGATCACGTGAACGCCCGGTCAGCCAACACCGGGAGGAGAAACTCATGACGTCATCGTTCAATTTCGCTCTGAGAAGTAAAAACAAGCAAAACGTGAGAATGACTTATGCATGCCTCTGACATAGCATGGTTCAACGTTGGCCGCTCCAACTCCGTGGCATTGACTGCGCTGATGATTGCGCCTCGCGCCGCACGCTAGAGTTGGCAGATTTCGGCGACTTGGCTCGCTTGAAGGTTTGCTGGTCAGTTTATTAAATATATAAACGGAATTAGATCGTAATATTTGACATGGAGTCTTCCTATATGATACTGAAGAGGGCTACATAGTTTTCTAAATATCAAAAATGAAGCGGAGTTTTCCTTTAACGCATAAATAATTGAGAAAATAGTGTAATTTGTCAATGTACTTACGATAAAAAAATCCGGAACTGACTCCTTCGTACTAACTGTCACGTTGTTTGCCGTATCGTCAATGCAACAGGGGAAAAGGGGTTCCGATTGACCGCTACAGAACTCTTGGGGGAAGGGGGGGGGGGGGGGGGGGGGGTTAGGACCTTTAATTTTCCCCCCACGGACCCGTGGGTGCGCCACTGCGGGAGACTGTACACACCGCGACACTGTTAGCGTGAATACGATCATCGGCGGTTTTTTACATTTTGCTCGGACAGTGTATCGAGGGGCGCAAGGCTGTGACACCTAGATTGGTGCATCAGATGAGCACTTTTCACCACATAGATAATTTTGGTAATAGTGTGTCATCTGTCAATGGAAGATTGCATATCATCATTCATCATTCATTAAACCTTGAAGGCCATTGCTGGCGTTACACAAGGTGGGAGTAACTGCTGAAGAAACATTATATAAAGGAACAAACAAAAAAGTGGGTTACATGCTGGAAAATATTGTTATATAAAGCAGCAAAAACAGGAAAAGAACACTTAAAACATTTTTAGGGAAAAAACAGCTGATAAAACAGAAAAATACCCAAATAAAACATTCCTATAAACACGAGTTGACTTTGCTACTAGTGCAAATGCAGATGGATGGTCAGTTGGGCTATGAATGTATTATAATCTGTCTGGGTCACGATACTGTTAGGCAGGCTATTCCAGTCCGTTATTGTGAATGGCAAGGTGGAGTTCAGAAACAAAACTGACGAGGCGAAAATTGGACGAACTTTACAGACGTTAAATGACTTGCTCGTGCCGTGTACATCACTAGTACAGCGGCGAGGGGGGGGGGGGGAGGAGGAGGGGAGGGGGCGATGAATTTATTAAATTTTAAAGGTCCTCGTTGCGGACATTACAATAAAAAAATCGTCAAAATATGCCCACAAAAAAAATTTTTCTCACGGAGCTCTGGGGGGGGGGGGGAGGGGGTTATGACCCCCCCCCCTCCCCCCACCGTGGGTGCGCCACTGGACGCAACCACTTCTCAGCTTGTTGCAACAAACAAGTCAGCGAGGTGAAGCACGACGACGAGGACTACGACGTCTTGGACGTGGGTGTTTACGGCATCGAGGATGAAACCACTGACTGGCAAGCCCCCTTGTTATTGTGAAGAAAAAGGACGGCAGCCTTAGGCTATGCCTGGACCCTAGAAATATTAACGCGTGCACTTCCAGATGCCACAGCGCGAAGATATTGAGGCTGAGCTTCACGGGGCCAAGTGTTTTTTTTTCCCGGCTTGACGCTAACTCGGGTTTCATCAGATTCCATTGGACGAGGTTACGTCAAAGATCTGTACGTTTGGCACCCGGTTCGGTCGCTACCGTTTCCTTCGGCTTCCGTTTGGAACCTCGTCAGCACCCGAAGTATTCCAGAAAACGCTGAGCGAGATATTTGACCCATCACCAGGGGTAAGGGTTGTGGGCACCCTGGCTGCTCCCCAGCCCAGTTGCCGGACTGCGAGGCAACGGTGCCGAACTTTTCCCGCGTGGCGGCGACGTTTCGCCAGCCACGCGCACATTGCGTGCGCCGCCTTGATAAGGCACATCAGAGGCGGCGCACAGGGAGTCGCTGCCTGCACTCAGGCACCGGTGGTAACCATGTTAATCGTCTCGTCCATGTCCCATTAAATGTAGTTTCTTGTTGAAACCGTTGGCTCCGTGTTATTCCTCCGGGTCGGGTATGCAGCAAGGCAAACCGACCACAGGGTTTACATAAACGACATTTTGGTGTGGGGATGCTCTAAACACGAGCATGACGAGCGCCTCAAGGTCGCTCTCCGGAAGCAGAACGAGCGGGCTTGACGTTCAACTTGACAAAATGCAAGTTCAGCGTGCGGGAAATTTCTTTCCTGGGGGACGTAATAAGCGAGGCCGGCATCCGCCCCAACCATAGGTTAGTGAGCTGCCTGGGCGAGATGCCAGTACCAACTGATAAGCTCGACGTACAGCGGATGTTGGGAGTGGTAAATTATTTTGAAAAATATTTACCTGCGCTGAGCAAGAAAAAGCTACGAAGTTTAATACGTAAGGACACTGTCCTCGAATGGACAGAAAACCTCGCACAAAAATGGGCTTCGCTCTGCGAAGCACTCGGCAAGGAACCGTTATTAGAAATTTTTGACCTCACAAAAAAAAAAACAACAACAACAACAAAGATAACGGTAGACACCTCAAGGGTTGGCCTCGGATCGGCGATACTGCAGCGTCATGGCAGTAGCTGACGTCCTATTGCCTATGGCTCTCGGGTAATGACAGAGGCGGAAAGACGTTACTCACAGATTGAAAAAGAAGCCATGGGAATTACGTACGGCTGTGAAAAATTCCATCACTTCATCTACGGACGGCGCGTTTTAATAGAAACTGATCCTAAACCTCTTATCGCTATTTCATTGAAGGACACAGGGGACATGCCACCAAGACTACGACGTTTTTTCCTTCGCCGGATGATTTACAACTACAAACTGCAGTTTGTTCCCGGCAAAGAATGGGTCCTGGCTGACATACTCTCAAGGACGGCGCCTGCTGCGTCAGGGGACACCGCTGGCATTATCGACGTTCAGGTACATGCTGTCGGCATTCTGTCATCCTTAGTAAGTGAAGCCACAAAACTGCGTTTCGCTGAAAAAACTAGTAAGGATTCAGACTTGGAGAAGGTTGTCGAAAGCATATCCAGTAATAAAGGCGTCGAAGGGGAACTTAAACCGTTCACTTTGGACCTTTCAGTGGTGGAAGGAATTTTGCTGAAAGGGTGCAAAGTTGTCGTTCCCCCCAAAATACGACCGGAAACGCTCGGACGAATTCACGAAGGCCATCTGGTCTTAAACAAGTGCAATGCTGGGGCACGACGTCTGGTTTTCTGGCCAGGTCTATATTCAGACATTCAGTCGCTTGTAAGGAAGTGTGCCGCGTGTACAACTTATGCATACAAGCAACCAAGTGAACCACTTTTGCTTCGTGAAGTTCCGGATTATCCCTGGTACACGGTCGGTGTAGACCTTTTTCATTACGCGGGAAGTGCGTATCTCGCAGTGTTTGATGCACACCCTAACTTTCCAGAAGTCGAAAAGCTCGGTGACACTTCTGAAAGCACGTTTATCAGTAAACTGTGTGCCATCATTTCAAGGTACGAAATTCCGGTGGAGGTTTGCACTGATAATGGACCCCAGTTTTTGTGCCTCGACTTTCCTGCGTTCGCCAACCGATATGATTTTAAGCACATCACCTCAAACCCCGAGTTTCCTCGTTCCAACGGTCTCGTGGAGAAGAGGGTACAGATTATTAAGAGGCTCCTCAAGAAAACTGGAGATGCGCGTGAAGATTTCTAATTGGGCTTACTCGGCTACCGTTCTTCCCCTCCAGAGGACGGCCGTGCCCCGAAAGAGCTGCTGCATGGCAGACGCCTACGTACGCGACTTCCCGACTTCAGCTTGCAGCCGGCATCTACCGTTAAAGGGCTACTCCACCGATTTTTTCATTGTCTCCGATTTGCTTGAAATTTTGCTAAACTAACCAACAAACATCGCGAAAATAGTATCCCAAAGATTAGGTCAAAATATTGTTTTTTCGCGAAGTTATTGAATTTACAGTTTTAGTCCTCATCGTGTTTTTCAAGCTCGAAGTCTCTACTGGCAACAATGAAAAAGTGACGTCAGTGGAAGGCAGGGGTTCACTCTTTGGGCTGTAGATTTTGTTTTAAACTGATTCGAAGCAGGTTCATGGTGTCAAATGAATGCTTGGGAAGCTCGCTGCAGTACCCGCGCTCCAGCACGGAACAAATGATTGGCATATTCTATTTTTTGGCTGCTTGCTCGACTGGCAAGCCTGCCTGCCACTGACGTCACGGCCCCGAAAAGCGCGCGTATATTTGAATGTTGGTTTTTGCATCATTTTCATTTGCCGATTTCGCAATAACTATTATGAATTTCGCGATTCTAAATAGCATACCGGAGAGAGTAAAGGCCGGGGAGTCAGAAAATATAGTTAGTTGGGGTAGCTCAAAAAATCGGTGGAGTACCCCTTTAAGAAGCACCGACAGCCAGAGACCGCAGGGCAGCGACTCCAGCCGCTCTATAAAGGACAAGTCGTCCGAATGAGGAATAAGGCCTGGTCTTCAAACGCTAAGGTCACGGGTACAGCTGCGCCTAGATCGTACAACGTGGAGACGGAAAGAGGAACAACACTACGGCGGAACCGTCAGCATCTTCTGGCAACACCGGAAACATTCAATCGCGACTCGTCATCTGACAGCGATGTCATGTGACTTCGAAGACGCCGGAGCGGAAATGCAACTTCATTAAAAGCTCAAGGAAGAGCCAACGAAACTCCTCCCTGCGCAGACAACTCCTCAAACTCAAGGAACACCAAACGCGGCCCCACTAGCGCCTAGAAGATCTACGCGAGCTACGGCTGCCCCCAAGCGCTTGCAGTACGGGCAGCAATCCGAACAAATTGTTTAGCATTGTTTCCCCTTGTCGTTCGTTAACTTACGTTATTTTATGTCTTTCTTACTAAACCAAAGGGGACGTATCATGCCGATATTGTACCGCATGCCAATCTTATCATGCTGCTTATACTATGTCATCTATAGCACTAAGTCATGCCGCCGGTACCGCCCCACTGTTTTCGGCTATATAAACGATGCCAAATAAACCTTGGTTGTTGTTGCGTTCACGAAGCCAGCAGCGTCGGACTGACTTTCTTATCAGCCGAGAGCCGGCTGATACAGTGTTGATAATTGGAGGTGCCGCCAGTGCGTAGCCATAGCAGGCCCGTTGTGCCCTTTGTATTCGAGGGCGGCTCCTCACACTCCGAAACTTCTAATCGACGGGCGGCATCAGCTGAAATGGACTTCTCCTAAAAGCGAAACGCGACTATATCGCCGCGAAGTCTAGCCGTCAAGCATACTGCGGTTAAAAGCGGAACTATTAAACGACGCAAGAATTTCCGTTTCAAAGCCGATTTAAACACAAACGAGGCGTGAGCCTCCAACGGCGCGCATTCGTTAACACCTCATCGCCTCGTCGTTTGAGATTGCCCGTTCACTGGGCTTTTGTGTTTAATTTTAAATAGGGTCCTGACGTTGACAATAGAGAGTGATTGCAATCTGTACGTAGGAAACAGCAAGCTTACTAGTGGACGCTCTGACCCGGCAGCGCTAAGCATCTGCTGCTATCAAGACAGTGGAAGACCACAGGAGGGCACCGCCGCGCAAAACAATCTAAATAGGAAAATCCCTAAAGCAACAACAGTGTAAAAAAGCTTCTTCCCACCAAGATTTACCCGACCACTCGAAGTCCTGCTGTCTACCTGCGTGCGCACACCGTAACACCGTCGCACGCTTTGCCAGGCTCGACAGTGGCGTGCTGTGCAGAGAAGAGGCGCAAGAAACGACGCCAGGTTGCGGCGCGAGAGCTCAACTTCAAAATGTTTTTTTTTCCACTTTAGAACAAAATTTAAACTTTCAAAAACAAAAGGCAATAAAATAAACTCTTCTGTAAAAGTCACCATGTTTTGTATTTTTCTTTGGGCAACCTCATGGCAGAATTGACGGCTCTTGAAACGGCAAAACGAAATTTTGCTCAAATTTATGTTTTTCTGTATGATAATTAGTTGTACTGCCTGAAACCTTTTTTTTTTCTTCGTTTGTGCAGTATACCTACAGGGCTGTCAATAAGAATTTTTACAGTCACCTGGAGCAACGAGATAGTTTGTAACAAAACTATCAAAAATGCTAAAATTCTTACATATTCCATACTTTTTTAAATTGCTTCGAGCCAATATTCATGATACTTATTACATAGCAATCCAAATGCCGTGTGGTTTTTAGGCAAAAATATCCCACCTTTCCATAAATATGTCTTAATTCTAATGGAGAAGTAAGATATATTTATGGAGAAGTCCACGTCGCCTGACGCACTGAAAAGTCCACGTCGCCTGACGCATTGAGAAGTCCACGTCAGCTGATGCCACCCGTCTCGATTACGCATCGCGTTTCGGAGTGTGAGGAGCCGCCCTCGGATACAAAGGGCACAACGAGCCTGCTGTGTCTATGCACTGACGGCACCTCCGATTATCAACACAATGCCCGCCGTTTCTTGCCTTGCAGCTGAAAAGACGGACATGGGGAAGCGGCGGTAAACTCCGTTCTTTCTTTGGACATAATCATGCCAGCTATCGTCGCCGGTGGCGTGCTGTGGCGAAGAGGCGTTAAGAAGCGACGCCGGGTTGTGCTCCGAAAGTTCCACTTCAAAAATTGTTTTCTCGCTTTAAGCAAGAATTACTTTGATGAAACTTTCAGAATCAAAAGACAATCGATCGTTCTTCCAAACCCACCATATTTTGCATCTTTACTTGGACCACCTCAAGGTGAAATAAACGGCTGTTTAGGCGTCAAAAAGCACTTTTTTGCAACTTCAGGATTTTTTTTACTGCGAGATATTTAATTGAGCAGTTTAAACATTTTTTTATTGATAATATACCTACAAGGCAACTGGTAAAAGGTTCTATAAAGTCCTCGGAGCAATTAGATATTTTTTTAGATAAAATAACAAAAATGCAAACATTTTGAAAAATTTTTGTTTTAAAAAAATATTTAATTAAACAAAACTGCACAAGCCCAACCACATTGTAAGTGGAAAGCCGTGCAAATTAAAAAAAAGTTATGTGTTCCATAAAAAAGTTGATTTTTCATAAATTATGGAGTGATATTTCACGCTATCTTAAATAGTTAAAACCGGGCTCACGCCATCAAAATTGTTTTTTCGACAAAAATATTTTAGGGCATGGCTACGGACAATGCAACAAGAGGCCATGAATTTTTTTTTTTAATCGAGGGTGGCCGAGCGCAACGTCTGGGACGTTTGACATAGAATGACCCACTTTCTAACAGTAATTTTTCGTGTTTTTTTTTATTCATGAGTGCTGCCAAATGGCTGGCGGACAACGCGTGTTTTGCCAATTCATATAAAGGGTGATCACTCTGTTCTAAGAAATCATCGTCCCATTTCTATCAATAGAAAATAATCCAAACTTACGAAACATATGGTTAGTTATATTCGAGCTTTTTTTAAAAGAGGCTTTGCTGACTTCTCTTCAGCATAGTTTCCGGAGGGGGTACTCCACAATTGCGCAAGTGGTTGCAGCCTTGGGCTACCCTCAGAGATAGTTAATTGGACAGGATCCTATTCGTTCAATCGCAGGCAGTTTGTTGAAGTTATAGGCCATTTTTCTGGTACCCTCGATGTTTCCTCTGGTGTTCCCCAGGGCAGTGTACTTGGTCCCCTGCTACCTCTGGTCGATATAAATGATATTGTATCAACTGTGAGTACCACAGACAAAGTATATGCTTTTGTTTAGAACAATATCCTATGTCGATGACCAAAAAATCATCATCATCATTTATTAAAACCTTGAAGACCATTGCTGGCATTACACAAGGTGGGTGTAACTGCTGAAGAAACATATAAAGGAACAAACAAAAAAGTGGGTTACATGCTGGAAAACATTGTTATATAAAGCAGCAAAAACAGAAAAAAAACACTTAAAACATTTTTAGGGAAAAACAGCTGATGAAACAGAAAAATACCCAAATAAAACATTTCTATAAACACGAGTTGACTTTGCTATTAGTGTAAATGCAGATGGATGGTCAGTTGGGATATGAAAGTATTATAATCTGTCTGGGTCACGATACTGTTAGGCAGGCTATTCCAGTCCGTTATTGTGAATGGCAAGGTGGAGTAAAGAAACGAAACTGACGATGCGAAAATTGGACGAACTTTACAGACGTTATCAATGCGAGGAAATATACGAGTGGCTGGGGATAATAGTCAAGTTCTGATGTCATGGTTATGATAGTAAATCTTGTGAAAAAGAGACAGGCGTGATAATTTCCTTCTGGTTGAGAGGAGATCAAGGTTAGCTTTCATTCGTAAAGAAGTGATGCTGGTGTCTCGTGAATAATCTGAAAAAATTAACCTGACTGCGCGACTTTGAAGTGCCTCTATCTTTGTTATCAATGAATGTTGCCAAGGGGACCAGATGGATGACGCGTATTCAAGTTGCGATCTTACGAGTGTAGTGTAGGCTAGTTGTTTAACTGATAATGGTGCTAGTTTCAGATTCCGTCGAAGATAGCCAAGAGAGCGGTTAGCATTAGACAGGACGTGTGTTATATGCGTGTTCCATGAGAGATCGTCAGATAAGTGAACACCCAGATATTTGTAAGATGGACACTTGGTAATTACCTGGCTGCACATGGTGTAAGTGAAAGAGAGAGGACAATGAGCACGCGTGAAGGAAACGAGATTTGTTTTAGAAAAGTTAATTGTCATTTTCCACTGTTTACACCAGTCGGCTATTAAGTTAAGGTCAGCTTGTAGGGTTATGTTATCGTTCAGGTTAGATACAGATCGGTAAATTACGCAGTCATCAGCAAAAAGTCGAATACAGGATGCTATGCGATCTGGTAGGTCATTTACAAATGTTAAAACAAGCAGAGGTCCGAGAACACTGCCCTGGGGGACTCCGGATGACACAGGAGAATAAGCTGACGACTGGTTGTTAATAACAGTATGCTGAGTACGATTGGTTAAAATTGTCCTATCCATGATGTTACGAGTGGATTTATTTATTTATTTATTTACAATACTGTGAACCTTACGGTCAACACAGGAGAGAAAAATAAGTTGTACAAGCCAAGCAAAATGCATTCACACTCAAGTGAGCACTTATGCACATGCAGTGGTGCGTCACACCCTGCACATCTGAAGATGTATTCCGCACACATACATTATTCAGTTAAAAATTCGCGCAATGATAATTCAAATGACTTGAAATTAGAGCAGCTGACGACTTCGTTTGGCAGAGCGTTCCACTCTACTATTGTCCTACAAAAGAAAGAATACTTAAATACGAGCAATCGCCCTGACGTTGCTAGTCCTTTGGGAACGAGACGTTGAAGGCCGCAAGTAAAGCTGCGGATCTAGCTTTGTCATTCCAGTCGTTATGGAAAAGAGTTCTTTTAACCTTGATATTTTCCGTCGCTTTGCCAGCGAGTCAAGCTGCGCCTCTTGTCTCATTGAAGAAACAGATTCTGTACGTTTATATCTGGAGAAGATAAATCGAAGAGCCAGATTTTGTATTCTTTCAATTTGTGATTCGTGGCATTTTCTATACGGGTCCCATACAGTGCATGCATATTCTAACAATGGGCGAACATAACACATGTACGCAAGTTGTCGAACATCACTATTGGCATGCCTAAGTTGTCTTCTGAGGAATAATAACTTTTTGTAGGCCTTTGAACAAACGTAATCTACATTACTGTTCCATCGCATGGTAGAACTAAAAATAACACCTAAATATTTAAATTCGTCCACCTTTCGCAGTTGCACGCCACCTATGTTATAGGAATATTCTAAAATGTTTCGTTTGTTTGTAATGCTGCAGAATACTGTTTTATCAAAGTTAATTACCATACCCCACCTTTCACACCACAAGTAAAGTTTTTCTAGAGAGGCATTAAGCAAGTCTTGGTCTTCGACTGTACGCACTTTTGAAAACAACATGCAGTCATCCGCAAATAGCTTTACCTGGACAGCTGGCGGCATATCATCTGCAATATCATTTATATACAGTAAAAACAAAAGTGGACCTAATACCGACCCTTGTGGCACACCTGAAAACACTGCAAGGCGGGTAGAGCATGCATCATTGCAGTAGACATACTGTGTTCTGTTAGTTAGGTAAGATCGGACCCACGACACTATATTGCTGTTTAGACCCACAAGGTGAAGCTTTTCAATTAATTTGTTATGAGGCACGCGGTCGAACGCTTTTGAAAAATCCATGAACACGACGTCAACCTGACCCCGCTCATTTACAACAGATGAGAACTCATGCGCACACTCAATTAATTGTGTGACCGTCGATAGACCCCGTCTAAAACCGTGCTGATGTTTGTATATTAAGTTGTTTTCTTCTAAGTACTGAGTGACATGATTTGAAATAATGTGTTCCAGCAGTTTGCAGCAAGTCGACGTTAATGATATAGGACGGTAATTTTGGACTGTCATTTTGTTTCCAGATTTGTGAATGGGTATAATTTTACCACACAACCAGTCTGCTGGCAATTTGGATTGTTGGAGAGAGGCTTGAAATATTATGAAAAGATATCGGGACACCCACTCAGCATATCTTTTCAGAAATGCATTTGAAATGTCGTCTGGCCCCGACGCCTTTTTTACATCAATATTCAAAAGCAAATTAAGTATACCACTTTCCGAGACAACCAAATCTGACATACAAGGTTCATCAGAGCTGCTGACGTGGTCTACCGGCGGGTCACTCGAGACTGTAAAGACTGACTGAAAATACGTGTTAAATTCCTCTGCCACTTCAATGGGACATGATACAACCTCATCGCTTACCATCACTTCTGTTATTACTTCTTTTTTCGACGAGAAAAACCGCCAGAATTTTTGCGGAGATTCTAGCAAGAAACGAGAGAGCACATTGCCACAGTAATTTTCCCTAGCTTGGGAAATAAGATTCTTCAATTGTCGCCCCAAATTTGCAATGTCTGAGGAATTTTGTTTTGCTTTCCTTTTGCGCTTGATCTTTCGCTTTATTTGCAAAATTTCTCTTGTTACCCATGGGTGATGTCGTTGTGCTCTCACGCCCCTTGTCGGAACAAAGTGATATGTACAGTAGGAAACAATACTCTTAAATGTTTTCCATAATTCGGTAACATCACTTAACTGACTAAAATGGTCAAAATGTTCATCTAAATAATCGAGGATGGACACATCATCAGCATTTTGAAAATCTCTGACAGTACGTTCGTGACGAGCATTATCGGCAGCTGTTTTATGTAGTTCTAAGTCAAGAAACACCATTTTATGATCTGACACTCCGTCGAGCACATGTGCTTTATCCGCTTCCACTATGTTGCTAACAAAAAGTAAGTCCAGAATCGATTGGCTCGTATCTGTTACTCTTGTCGGGCTGTCCACTAACTGTTGAAGATTAAAACTGAGTGCTATATCTAATTGTTGTAGCTTATGCAAGCCGAGTCATGACGGCAACATACATCTTTAATGGAGACAGGCGTTCTTCAGTGACCATGGCTGGTTGCCGATGATCGAACCACACGAGCGCGGGGGCAGCTCGCGCACCTCAGAGTTCACGCGCCGGTCACGCCTGCCGGTCATGCAACCGCGGCATTGTTGCACTATATTACATTCCTTCCCCCTTAGGTAGGAACAGTTCCGTAGCGGATGACTGGACGTCGCTCTCGTGCTGATCTTCTGAGCGGCTGCTCCGGCTGAGCCGCTGGCGATGGCACAACCTGAGGAACAGGTCTTTCTGGGTTTCGCCTGGCAGGAGATGCTTGTGGCGTTCCATGTCCAGGCGCAGCCGTTAGTGGCAGCTTGACGTCGTAGTCAATGTCAGCTTCAAGGTTCTCATCCCAGTCAAGCCAAGCCTTCCTGAGGTGATCACGATGACGGCGATAAACTTCTCGATTGGCCAGCTGTACCTTGTAGGAGACTGGTCCTGTGACTGCAACAACCTTTGCTGCTTTCCATCGTGGTCCCGTCACAAAATTTCGGGCGTAGACGGTGTCGCCTACGTAGAACCGCTTGACCTTTGGTTGATCCGCTCCTGGATCTCTCTGGAGGTCAGGATGCAGTCTGTCCAACGGCGACCGCAGCCTCCGGCCCATCATCACCTCTCCCGGAGTCTTCCCGGTGTCCGAGTGTGGTGTCGTGTGCTGCTTAAACAAAAAACGTGAAATCTTGCACTGTGTGTCGCCTTGAGTTAGCTTCTTTAAGGCAGACTTGACTTCCCTCACCATTCTTTCTGCCCTGCCATTGCTCGCAGGATGGTACGGGGCTGTGTAGATGAAGCGAACAGCATTAAGTTTCAGGAACTCTTTCATTTCTGCACTTTTGAACGCCGTTCCGTTGTCCGACACAATTACGTCGGGCAACCCATGTGTCGCGAATAGCTTCCTCAGCGCCGTAATCACTGCAGCTGATTTCGTGGACGGCATAATCTCGACTTCGGCCCAGTTAGAAAAGGCGTCCACCACAACGAGAAAACTTTCACCTCGAACGGGTCCAGCGAAATCTACGTGCAGGCGGCTCCAGGGCTGTTCTGGCTTTATCCAAAAGTGAACAGGTGCTTTTGGATCGCTCTGCCTGTTTTCCTGGCACTGTTGGCAATGGCGCACAAAGTCTTCGATCGCTTGATCGATTTTAGGCCACCAAATGTACGCCCTGGCCGACGTTTTCATTGCTGTCATTCCTGGGTGGTTGGCATGAAGCAATTGTAGGGCCTTCCTTGTGGCTTGCTCGGGAATGACCACTCTGTTTCCCCACAGAATACAATCTCGATGCAAGGAAAGTTCTGTGCGTCTCACCTCAAAAGGTGCAAAAGATCCTCCCAGGGTTTCTTGTGGCCAACCCGAGAGTATCCATTGCTTGACTCTTGCCAGCGTAGGGTCTTGCTTTGTCAGCTTTCCGATGTCTGCTGCCTGCAGTGGAGGGTACTGGACGGCCTCGAGGAGGAGTACGTCACCTGGTGGCACTGGCTCGTCGACTTCGCTTGGTGCTGGAAGGCGGCTTAACCCGTCTGCGTTGGTGTTGTCGATTCCTAATCGAAACACCAGCTTGTAGTCGTACGCTCCCAGCAGCAAGCTCCACCGCAGCATCCTCGGTGACAGGATTTGTGGCATTGGCTTCTCTGTGTCAAAAATCCCAAGAAGCGGTTGATGATCGGTCACGATCGTGAATTCTCTTCCCGCGAGATACTGGTGAAAGTGCTTAACACCATAAACTACAGCAAGCCCTTCTTTGTCGATTTGAGCGTAATTACGCTCACTTCGCCCCAATGTTCGTGATGCATATGCTATCGGCACTTCTGCACCATCATTGTCCTTGTGAGAAAGAACTGCACCAACACCAACCGGTGAAGCGTCACACGACAAGACCAGTGGACGGGCTGGGTCGTAGCGTACTAACACTGCGTCGGAGCTGAGAAGCCCTTTTAGGTTCCGGTACGCTTTCTCATGCTCCCGCGTCCACGCCCATTTTCTTCCTTGGTCTAGAAGGCGGTGCAATGGCTCAGCAACTTCAGCTTTCCCTTCAAGAAATCTGCTGTAAAAGTTGACAAGTCCCAAAAAAGCTTGTAGTTCTTTTTTGTTCTTTGGGCTCGGCGCACTCTTGATTGCAGTCACTTTTTCTTCACTTGGGTGAATGCCAGTAGAATCAACTCTGTGACCCAAATACTCTATACTTGTTTTACCGAACTCGGATTTGTCTTTGTTTACCCGCAAACGCGAGTCTTGCAACCGCTGCATGACTGCTCTTAGTCTTTCATCATGCTCTGCCACGGTCGAGCCCGAGACAACGATATCGTCAAGATATACGACGACCCCAGGTATACCTAACAGTAAGCTGTCTACTACACGCTGGAACAATCCTGGTGCGACTGATATACCGAAAGGAAGTCGGCGAACTTTGTACAGCCCTTTCAACGTATTCACGGTGAGGACTTCTGATGACTCGTCGTCAAGTACGAGCTGCTGATAGGCCTGGGTTAGGTCTAGTTTCGTAAATATCTTACTGGACCCTAGAGTGGCAAACAACTCGGTGACAGTCGGTAGTGGATAGACGTTGCTCTTAACCGCCTTGTTGATTGTGCTACGATAATCTCCGCACAGGCGTAAAGTTCCGTTTTTCTTTCTCACCACGACGAGCGGTGTGGCCCAGTCGGAGTACTGGGTCGGCTCCAGGATGCCTTGCTTCTCCAGGCGATCTAACTCCTTGCTCACATCCTCTCGAAGGGCGAACGGCACTGGCCGACTCTTTAAAAACTTGGGTTGCACGTCGTTGAGCTCGATGTGGATCGGAGCTCCCTTGAATCCGGGCAAATCGGTGCGAAAAACCTCGGAAAACCGCGCTGTTAGCGCTTCGTCGGACGTGCTGAGGTGTCGGATGCCGTGTAACTCGATACCTAGTGGTCGAAACCAATTTCGTCCCATCAAGCTTCTTCCGTGCTGTGCCACAACCATGATTGGCAAAACAGCCTTGCGTCCTTTAAACATGACGCTCACCATTGCTTTGCCAAGTGTAGGCAATGTCTGCTTTGACCAGGTTAACAACTTGGTGGGTGTGCTCTCGATGGGAATCAGTCTCTGGTCTATCTGGCGAAACGTTTCTTCGCTCATGATAGAGCAAGACGCTCCAGAGTCAACTTCCATGATTATTTCTTGTGACTCTATCTTTACTGGCACTAGAAACTTTTCTTCGGTTTCGTGCACCTCGCAGATCGAACAGAGTTCGTCTACTTCGTAAACGCTGTCGCCCTTTTTTGTGTCTTTTCCTTTCTTTGATGTGGCTGCCTTACTGTGGCATGCCTTTGCTATATGCCCCTTCTTCTGGCATTTGTAGCAGACGGAGTCTTTAAATTTGCACATGAAAGGTTTGTGCTTACCGGTGCAACGGTGGCAGTTTTCGCTGTCTGGTTGCTTCTGAGGTTTCATAGTTGTCGCTTGAATTTCACCATCAGAGTCAACTTTGCCGCTGTGTTGCCGTTGCTTCCTGATGTCTCGCTGTTGCTGTGACGTTGCCTCTGCAGTGACGGCCAAGTCGTAGGCTACGTCGAACGTCAAGTTCCGTTCAGCCAAAAGCCGTTGCTGCACTCTCTCGGGCGCGATGCCGCAGACGAACCTGTCTCGCATCATGATTTCAAGTGGCAGTTGTCTATCTCCGAAACCGCAGTCTTCTGCCAGCTTTCGGAGCGCTGTCACGTAGTCTGCAACTGTCTCGCCGGCGTGCTGGTCGCGCTTGTAGAACAGGAACCTTGCGTAGAGTTCCGACGGCCTTGGGTGCAGATGAGCCTTGACCGCTGTCACTATCGTGGTATAGTCTGCTGCTGTCGGTCTCGTCGGCTTCACCAAGGTTACGATTAAGGAGTACGTTTCTTCTCCGCAGCAACTCAGCAGGACGGCACGCTTCTGCTCAGGCGTTGTCAGACTGTTGGCTACGCAGTACATTTCGAGTCGTTCTACGTACTCGTCCCAGGAAGCGTTGGTGCTGAGGCGATACTCGCTGATACCGCCCACAGCCATCCTTGAGGTCCGGACAACGGATGCTTGCCCGTTGTCTTCGTCCGCTTCGTCGCCAATTGTTGTGGCTTATGCAAGCCGAGTCATGACGGCAACATACATCTTTAATGGAGACAGGCGTTCTTCAGTGACCATGGCTGGTTGCCGATGATCGAACCACACGAGCGCGGGGGCAGCTCGCGCACCTCAGAGTTCACGCGCCGGTCACGCCTGCCGGTCATGCAACCGCGGCATTGTTGCACTATATTACACTAACAAAAGCTCGGAGGACGCGATTTCATTTTTACCTGGTTTTTGCTTTGCCCAATCAATATCAGCAAGATTGAAGTCTCCAGTCAAAATAATTTTAGTTTTGTCATTGAAGCGCAACGCCATGTAATCATACAATTCTTCTAAAAACCTCGGGGCGGTGTTTGGTGGCCTATATACAGCACCAACAACAAACACGTTGCCGTGAACTTTAACCTTACACCATAACACCTCCCCGTTGACAACGCAATCTAAAGGTACCAGGTCCACCGAACTTTTTGCGATAATAGCCACGCCGCCGCCCCTTAACCCTCGGTCTTTCCTAATCATTCTGTAACAAGGCGGAATAACTTCATTATCACCAATACCACTGTGAAGCCATGTTTCCGTGATGACGATCACGTGGGGGTCATGAGTTAGCAAGATTGTTTCCAAATCATCTACTTTATTCACAATACTTTGCGCATTGAAGGAAAGAAGTCGAAATGTCTTTCGATGGGGTTTCCCGGAGTGTGCTTGACGTCATTTTACACTTTTTTGTCGAGTTGCCCGATTTCTTTCTTTGCATATTTGCCCCACATTATCATCCCATTCGAAAACTTGGCCTCCTATCTTCATTTTATCGTGAATCAAGAAGACAGTTTCCCCGTTATCGCGATTGGGTTTACTGGTTTCCCACAACTGTTTGCGCTTTTGAATAGTCTGCCAAGAATAATCGTGTTCTAACGTTATTTTAGTCCCTTTCAAACACCTTCGCTTTTTTAGCACGTTTTCCTTTTCTGCGTAGTCAAGAAATTTAACTACAACTGGGCGGTTTTTGTTTGTTTTTCGCCCCACGCGATGTACACGCTCGACTGTATTAACATGAATTCCAAGTTTTTCTTCAAACACATCACCAAGTACTTTCGACCGCAATGAGTCATTTGTTTCCCCTTGAGCCTCTGGAAGACCGAAAACCATGAGGTTGTTACGGCGGTTCCGATCTTCTAAGTCGACGATTTTTTTTGGCATTCCTTCAAGTCATTATTGATTGCCTTAACATGTTTTTCAATGCTTATGATTTGAACTTTTTGTTCTTTCATTTCTTGAACTGTTGCTTCAATTTGATTTACTTTTTTTGTTAGACCTTCAAATTTGTGTTCAAATTGCTTTTGGTTATTTTTTATTTGACTTAGATCTCTCATAATCACGTTTTGTGTGTCCAGAATCGCCTTCACCATCTCTTCCATTGTAGGGTTACCACCCCCTTGGCAGTCATCAGGTCCCGGATTCGATTCAATGTCACCGCTTAACAATAAATCACGAGTGACACAAATGCACTCAATAAATAAGGTTAAGCACATCCGGGGGCAAGGCAGCAGGAAAAGGAAAGTATTGCTTGATCGTTTACAATGCAATGAGTGACAATTACTCACCTGCGTGAAGAAGATCAGAGGATTAGACATAGTGCACACATGAGTGCTGCCTTGCCCTCTGATGGCGAACCGTTCAGACAGCCCTTTTGTAGCTTCGTAGGCCACGGTTGATGTCGATGCCGATCTTGTGCTTTCGTCAAAGACGAGGCGCTTGTTTCTGCCGTCGTCCTCGTTGTCGGCGAGGAAGGTGATGCCGCTGACGTGTCCTTGAGTAGTCTTCAAACTTGATAGTGGCACAGTGACGGAGCGGTCCGCTGGGTCATGCTGGCGCGGCAACGGACAGGCCAAAGCAGCCTGAGCGATTAGGAGCTGCGTGAAGAAGATCAGAGGATTAGACATAGTGCACACATGAGTGCTGCCTTGCCCTCTGATGGCGAACCGTTCAGACAGCCCTTTTGTAGCTTCGTAGGCCACAATTGATGTCGATGCCGATCTTGTGCTTTCGTCAAAGACGAGGCGCTTGTTTCTGCCGTCGTCCTCGTTGTCGGCGAGGAAGGTGATGCCGCTGACGTGTCCTTGAGTAGTCTTCAAACTTGATAGTGGCACAGTGACGGAGCGGTCCGCTGGGTCATGCTGGCGCGGCAACGGACAGGCCAAAGCAGCCTGAGCGATTAGGAGCTGCGTGAAGAAGATCAGAGGATTAGACATAGTGCACACATGAGTGCTGCCTTGCCCTCTGATGGCGAACCGTTCAGACAGCCCTTTTGTAGCTTCGTAGGCCACGGTTGATGTCGATGCCGATCTTGTGCTTTCGTCAAAGACGAGGCGCTTGTTTCTGCCGTCGTCCTCGTT